TATAGTGCACGCAGTGTCAAGCCACCTAGACTGGTGGCCACATTGTAACTTGATCGATAGCATCCGATCAGCACTAAGAAGGACTTGACACGCATGAGATTGATCACCACCCAGTGATCAATCAATTGTGATTACATCTCAGTCCTACAGGAGGTCGGTCGTGGCCCGAGTAGCTCAGTGGTAACATATCTGAATGTGGAGCTGAGTGACACGGGATCGAATCCGTCAGGGAGCACCAGTTCCCTCCGGATTACAGGTACACCTTGCTGACGAGTGCCAAGTAGGACGAAACCCGGGCCCATGGTTTCCTATTGACCACCTCCAACCACCATCTTATCTCAATCTTCACTGTTCCTTCTGTAAATATTATTTCATCTTCTCTAATTTCATTGTTTATGCATTTCCCTACCGATTGTGCTTCATTTTAGTTCTTTGCTTATTGGTCTTCTGCCAAAATACATTCTATGTCTGAACATCACCATATACTACTTATGTGGATATAAGTAGCCCACACCACAGTGTGATTCATGTGAGCTAAGATTCATTGTCATTTTGAAATTTTGAAATACAATAGAGATACTACTGATTTCATCCTATTGTTCTGTCTCTTTTTCTTTTCTTAGGAACGCATACTTGAGAGAAAGGTGAATTCATTCAGAAAAATTGAAAAAAAATGTAATAATAATGAATTTCTAGGTTAGTATTTGACTAATCATACATACATTCATTTACCACATATATCTGAGAATGATTGTCTTGAATGAATATGTGCATTCGATGTTTAGTTTATTCGTTCAAATTTCCAACATTGCAGATGACTTAGCTCTTCTACGCCATACATAGCAACAATGTAGATGAAGACAATCAGTATAGCAATCGGCCTCAACATACACAAGGGAAAAAGCAAGATAATAAAATACAATACAGCGAGCACTAATCAAATCACATGTGATAGAGAAGCTCTGGAAGAGGTGAAAATTGTTACGTATCTGGGTGGCACTACTGATAAACAATGAGAATCTGTTTAAGACATAAAGGCAATGATTGATGAAGCAAGGACAGCATTCCTACAGTTAAATAACCTATGGAACTCAAAACAACTGTCTGTCAACTAACATCAAAGTCACAATCATCAACACGACACATCAGGCACTTTCTTATTTTGTACGGAGCTGAAACTTCGAGAACTACCACAATCATCATTAAAAAGGTACAAGTATTTATAAACAGTTGTCTACGCAAGATACTCAATATCGGTTGGCCGAATACCATCAGCAACAGCCTACTAATGGAGAAGACAAACTAGCTTTTAGTTGAATGGGAAATTAGGAAACGACGCTTGAAGTGAATATGACACACATTATGGAAATCAACAAACTGGAATCTTTGAGGCAAAAGGAACGAAATAGATCAAATTATACATTAGGCCGGGAATCGGAGCTAGATATCAAAAAAACAAATAGCACGTGGGAACAATCGGAAATGAGGCCCCAGGACAAAGTATGTTGAATAATCGTAGTTAGCGGTCTATGCTGCACAAGAGGTAACAGGTGTAAGTAAATAAGTATAATATATAACTGATTGATAGTTTATCGGTGAGCGGAATCAAAACCATTGAGTAGCAGGCTCGAATATCACCCCTAGCTCCCACCATTTACATCTATTTTCGCCAGCTGACCAATCATAAATTAGTTGAGGGAACTACAGTTATGCTACGATAATGGTTTGTAGCCATATGGATGAATGAATTTCGGTCAAAAATCAAAGAAGTACTTTTGTAAATCTGTCTGCATCATAAGTCATTCATATGTGTATTTTCCTGATAAGCTGAATTGGTCTAATCCACAAAGCAGTAGAGCAACGTCAAGAGATGCATTCCCATGGTTTCCGGCGACCAAGAATATGTTCCCACAGGATCCTTGAGCCCATGTGCACCATTGATTCGGAATCACGGTTTGCCAACTCCCCTAGGTGGATCCTCCATACCCACCAACCCGGTTAAAGTTTCGTATATTCTCTTTTCGTCTTCTCCATTTCGTAAACAACACCCCCGTCACGAGAAGTCAGTGAGTAGGACTTTCCTGCCAGAGGCTGTATATGCGTGACTTTATGAGAGCATTTTGAGAGGGAAGGCGAACTCTCTCCTCACCTTCGGCTATACCAGGGATATTACTTTAAGCTATTTCTTTTCAAGTAACATTTATATTATCTAAATACAATTGTTTGTTGTTTTCTATTCTATTTCAGATGAACGATTCAATTTTGAACAACGTTTTAATATTTCTGAATGGGATTCTGCTAAAGCTTATTTCTCTAGATGATAATAATAATAACAATAACATACATACATACATTATGGGATTTTTGCAACAGTTGGAGGGTAAACGATACTTATATTGATTTCTCTATTTCCTAAACATCATCATGATGTAGATCTAGTGCTTTCTATTAAAAGAGGAGGAGAAAAAGTAGAAAACTGAAAAAAATGGTACCCCCGAATTTTTTTTTACTTGTATATTTCTTTTTTCTTTCTTTTCGAATACTCAATCTTTTTCATTTACTAAAACAATATCAAGTTGGTATTTCAAATTCTTCAAATCAAGCATTCAACCTTTGATCATTTATACATAATAGAATAGATTGTTGATTCAATACAAGTTTTCTTATATGCATTTGGGGGGGAAAATATGGTATAGTTTTGAAAAGATAATAATAAAGATGGACAGTCCTTGAGTATCGTTACTACTAACTCAACAAAACAACAGCTGACGAAACAGTACAAAAATATTAAATAGGCAAGTTATTTGAAGTCCTATTCACTACCTTCTCTTGGCCAGACAGTTTTATACAAAATTGAAAGGATGAAAAACAAATGTCCCACGCTTTAACCGGCTCGGTGGTTATGGAGGATCTACCTAAGGGAATTGGAAAACCCTCATTCCAAATCAATGGTGCACATGAACTTCAGGATCCTGAGGGAACAAATGGTTTACGAACATATTGTTGGTCACCAGCTACCATGGGACTACTAGGTCCTGGGCTCGAACCTCGCGGGGTGAGGTCGTGGATACGCACTGCCACTGAGGAGTCCCACAATAGGACGAAACGGCCGTCCAGTGCTTCCAGGTTTTCCACAGTAGTCTAGCTTCAACTATGAAAATTAGGTATTTGTTTACACATAGTACTTAACATAATTTAAAAGTAGTTCGATTCGTTTGATTACAAATTATGATAAACCGGCACAAGTTCAATAATTAGCATAGTATCTCTCGTTCGATGACAACACATTACACAGTTTATTCAAATTCATTGCCTTTTATCTTTGCAGTGAAGCTTACAACCGTTTTTTTTTATCGTTTAGGCATATATATATATATATATGTATAACTGGTATTGAGTCCCACTGGTAATTTAAGGTGCTCTTATCGAAATGTGTACTGAACCTGAGACTAAATTGAGTTGAGTGATTTGATTAATCACTGCTCCATTAACAAGAATAGCACGAATATTTTCCAAACGATACGTATATTCTGGGGATTAAAGATTTCTCTCAATTTCCCTTCAGATAATCAGTCAAACAAACGTAACGTTCAACATGGTACGTATGCACGTCCGTTGATATTGTTGTACCCCATCAACACCTAGAGATAAAGTGGTTGGATGAAATCCCAGAATAGTAGAAGTAGTAACAGTTTTAGTGATAATATAAAACATCAGGGATCAAACATATTATTCAAAAAAAAAATACAAATCCGTAAATTAAAACAGGATTACGAGCGATTCAGAAGCTTAGAATTTGAAAGACGACAAAGAGTGGGTGCACCAGTGCAATTTCAAACGATTTTGACACACGTCATTCAGAGTCTCTAACCACTAATTGTGATGATTATGCAAACCAAAACCAGATATTCGACACCTGTTAACATGGCTAAGTCCAATTGTTATTGACTTCAAGGACTGATCATTTGGTTTGGTCGTCTCTAGATTTCTCCCAACCAAATTCTACAACAGTCGATATCTCCCATTGTGGTTGTGAATATGTAAAACATGTCCCAACCACCTGAGCTGATGAAGTTTTACTATCTCATCTATAACCCAAGCGTCGCTTAATCGATTGTTCCGAAATTAAATTCTCTTATTCAAAATTTTCCGGTCAAAATATCCGTATTTTGCCACTACACTGGTTTCAAAAGACTACTTTCGCATTGTACATATACTACTAGTAATAAAGTGTAAAATAATCCCCTTAAAACACTACGCCAAAGAATGTAGGCAGTTTTACTTCACAAATACATGACGTGGAAACCACTAAGGTAAAGCTTTTTGAAAAAAACAGCAACGCTACCATAGTTCCGAACTAGTTTTTTTATTTGAACACATAAATATTGGTACAAAGGGGCACCGAATACATATGCGCCGCACAAATCAAATCAGATTTGTGTGATACTGCCCAGGTGCCCAAACTGAAGCAGGTGGTTTTCTTAGGGGACCACACCCGGAGCCTTTGACCTAAAGGTCTGATCCACAAGGCAGTGAAGCAACGTCGGGCGATACGGTCCCATGGTAGACGGTGACCAACAATCGGTTTCATACGCCATTTATTCCCTCAGGATATTGGAGTCAGCCCATGTGCACCATTGGTTTGTAATGAGGGTTTTCCAACTGCCTTAGGTGGACTTTCTGTGTCCACCAACGCGGTTAAAGCACCTGTCGGACATTCGCTTTTCGTCCTCTCAATTTCGTAAACAACAATAATGCCACAAGAAGGCAGTGAGTAGGACTTCCCTGTCAGAGGCTATATACGCGTGGCCATATGAGAGCATTTGGAGAGGGAGAGCAGACTCTCCCTACTTTCAGCCGTATCAGGGCATTTGGGGGCATTCTGATTTTATACACCGTTAAGATTTGTATTATTATAACGGTTATCGCAGTGAACGATTAACGAAAAGCCCCACACTAAAGTCTTCCCCCATTCTATTTCTTTTTTTAAAAAATTCATCCATTGTAAAAGGTATAAATTTAAAGAGAATAAGATAATCATTCATTTACAATATACACAATAGTTAAATATTATTTGTAAGTGTTTCAAAATTACGATTGATTTTTGGTCGTTTTTTCATGGATTGTAAAGAATGATCATTAATTTCGGAATTTGAAGATTTTTCATTCATTAAATGAGGGGGTACTGGTTTCATATTATCACTATGTAAACTATCTAATGGTATATTAGAAGGTTTACATATTGATTGATCTGTCATTTCTTTCATTTGAACTGTTTGTTTTGGATGTATTACAGTAAGATTATGTTCTTCTGAAGATACATGAGAAGTTTTAGTGGAGCAAGGGGTAAATCGTTTTACATCGTAGGTAATGACTAGATTATCTAAATCATCCATACGTTTTCTACTAGAGTTGACTTTTTCTTTTGGCAAATTACTATTACTATCATTAGAAGCATTGACACTTGTACATTCAGTTAATTCACTAACGGATTCCTCTCGATTACTTCTTGGTATAAGATGATCATAATAAAGATTTACAATATGTTCTAATGTATTTGCATTTGACACCTACTTTTCAAATAAACATAAATTTAAGAAAGAAAGTAATTATCACAAAAAAAATCAATAAACAGTACATTTTAAAGTTGTGTTTAGATAGTTAAATACAGTAATTTGGAATTACTTAGTCAGTCAAAACGTAGAACTTTGTACGTACGTACATCAGTTCGAGTTGCCATACCACATTAGCACAGAGATCAAGTTGTTGATTCAAACCCCATAGTGGTAGAAGTAGTAAGAGTGTAAGCAGCAATCCGAAAGATTAGGGTTTGAAGATGTTATTCAAAGAGTATAATACAGTGAAATAAATTTGAAAAGAGAAAAAAAGCGATACAAAGAATTCAGAAGATTAGAATTTGGTAGAACAGAAAGAGTGGATGCACCTTCGCCATTGCAAACGATTTTGAGCCATGTCATTCAAGGTTTTTAGCCATCGATTGTTATAATCTTGCTAATCCCAACCAGGTAATCTACACCTACCAACATGGCTCAGTCCACTTGTCAGTGACTTCATGAATTTGTGCCACGTTTTGGTCTGGCCGTCCCTAGCTTTCTTTCAATCTACTCCTACACCATGAAACATTGCACGTCGGGGAAGTCGGTGGTTGGGCATATGTTACACGTGTCCCAACCATTTCAACTGATGAAGTTTCACTACTTCATCAGTCGATTTGCCATCCTTACCTAGTACCTGTTTCCTAACAACTGTATTACTTAGTCGTTCAGAATTACTAACTAAAATGCATTCCTATTCACAGGTATAAGGACTCTATACATAACCCTACTTTTTCTTAAATGAGTTAAAATCGAATAAAGTTCACACTGTTACAATTCTAGGCTACATAAATCATTGATCAGTCAAAATAAAAGACGGAAGAGATCAAATAATTAGGAGTTAAATACAGAGTTATGATTTCATTATAATTCAGAAACATGACTTAAGTTTAGAAAAATTTCAGTCATAGTCATTCAGAACTTAGTTGAAGTTCAAGCAAACCATAGTGATTACATATATGCTCGAGTTCAAAAGCATTAATTACTTCATCTACAAGACTATAATGTATAATGCAAGTAAGAATACTATGCTATAAACCAGTTATATATCCTAAACGTCTAGATTCTTTGTGAGGATTTGAAGAAAATGATAAATAATTACTAGAAGATCACTACATAAACCAATGCAGTTTTACATAGCCTTCAAGGTTGTTACCAAGTAAGCGGATAGGGATGATTGTCTTCCAGAAAATAGTCCCTCAAAACTTATATAGAACTACATCGTACACTTGTCAAAAGCTTACCATCAACGTGTGAAACTTGGGGCACTTAATGTCTAAAAGATAATCCTAAGAGATTAGGAACCGAATACTTTTGAGATGATTTTGAATATATTTGATGTTTTCCACTTTGTAAATTTTACACTTTAGTCTTAAACTGGGTTTCATTTATACTTATTTTGATATCAGGAGACAAAGTAGATGGCTTTATTAATATTAATTATCAGCGCCGTAAATTTGTACATACACTATAATAATCACTACTTAAACTGCCGTATAGAGATAGCTGCCCTTGTACGGCCGAGTGTGGGGACAGTGCTTAGAATCCAAACATGATAATTTCGAACTAATAGTATATAAGGCCAGATTACATAACAATTAACTCACTAAAGATTTGAAACCTCGACGTTCAAATATTTCTAGTAGTTGGTCTATTGACATTTGTTCTGGACAATATAAATCAACAGTAACACCACATTTGGGCAAATATTCGGAAACTTTTGGTTTCGACTCATTTTTTTCTTCTTTTTTCATCTGGTCTAAAGTCTGGAAATTAAAAACTCTTTGGAATACATAGAATGATAATGTTGACATTTTTTGAAAATATATGGAGTGAGCATAATAAGATTAACCTGGTTGATTTTAACACATACTACACAATCTTAACAAGCACTGACTTCTACTCCTCTGACTTAATCTCATGAGTTAGAAATGTAACCAACTAAATGCATTTAGTTGGCTTACATAGATCCTTGATGCTAGCAAATATATAAAGCGACATCCCTGCTATTAAATCTTGTATGATATATCCCCGATGGCATTTAGACAGACAGCCTACCGTAATGGGGATTAGTTTGAAATACGAATATGAACAGCGCGATCTTAACTGTGTTTTTAGTAAGAAACGTCTGGTATTAAACTAAATACATATGCCTTACAAACTATATTTAAATTTGAATTAAGGAGGTTCAGCTGTTGAGTTTGTGAAGTCAATCCTATATACAGCCTGTACAACATCTGCTAAGGACCTTCATGAAAATATTCATACAGTTGATAGATTTTAATTGTCTTCGAGAAATGAAAGATCACACAGTCCCCCCGACTAAACGAGGGACTTATGAAGTCTCAGGTGTTTTTACAGAACATTTACACTAATATACCTAACTGTATATTATATTACATTTTTAGACTTTACAGTAACAATATTTCCTAAATTATGTAACGGCAAGACATTTTCGAAAGTTCTGCTAAGAAGCAAAAGGAAGGCGGAGACTTTACATGAACTGTAATTAGTTTCTTGAGATAAGTCAAGTCAAATGTTGCATGGCGTCAAAAATTTTACTTCAATGTCACAATTCTCGTGGCAAGGTTTAGATACGCGAGTGACAATGAGTACATAGATAGACAATCGAATGACAACCCTTGTTTCTTTAATACAACATGCTACTTCCTAAGGTTTTCACTCTTACACAATAAAGTAAGTATTATCGTGGTAGAGGTTGTTTCTTTTGAAGAAAACGGCAGATACGTCAGAAGTAAGGATTACGAAATGAATAAATAGCAATAAACGATATATTATTAATTCACATCAAGTGAACATTTTTTAGTGTCTAACTACTTGCTGTTACATTATTAAGGGCTCGACAACTGACAGTCTCTTAACCATTTACTCTCAAGGTCATGATTTGAAACACACAAGTTCGTTTCCAATATCCAATATGTTTGACACGAGCTTGCATAAACCAATCGATTTCTTTGAGCTCTTTCTTTGTTATTATGGTGCGGTTCAGGTGTTTAGTTGTGCTCAATAAGTGATATCAAGACATTTGACTGCACTAATTCCCGTCAACTTGTCAGTTATATATACATTTATACATTTTGTAATTTGAGTGAGTACATTTATCTGAGGACAGTAGGGATTCTGAATACCAATGGCTACCCATTATCACGCAGGAAGTTGTTTAGTTTCAATGTGAAAAGCAATAAGGCAGAAGTTAGAGAGGATAATTGCTCGAAGAGTAACAAATAAGCTAATATATAAGAACTCTCGTCTAAATTAGAACGAATAGTTTCACAGTATTTGAGCGCCGAGTTGAAGTAAGACATTAAATAGGAATAATATATTTGTAAAATCTCAGCGAATGAATTTTTAAATTAAATCCAACGTTTCGCCTGGCAATCTGGTCCAAGCTTTTTCAAGGAATTATATCTAAGCTAAAAGCTAATAGATTAGTAATACAGAGAAAATTCTTCAGGGAAACATCCCACTTGTCACAGGCTCATCCTTTTGCCCGTAACTTTGCCTGACTTTACTTAGGATCTTCTATTTTCAGATATGTGCTTTGCCTGAAGTACATCGTCTGCGATATAATCCTAAGTAATGTCCACTACTATCGCCCAGTAGTTACATCGATCATTAGCCTCCATCGCTCTCGTGAACATGAGGCGGGTTGGAGATACTCATTTATTGTCGTCAAGTATGTCTCGGCGTTTCCAAGTTAGCGAGTGTTCTTGTTCCAACGACGTATCTCGATTGTGAACACGCTGAACTTCACTATACCATGGTCACGACTTCCTACTGGTATGTAGGCATGTTTTCTCAAAGAGAAGATAACCAATGCCAACGCCGCGTATCATGCACGTGAGCCCCATCAACCAGCTCAAACACTCCATGGGCCACCTACTATTTGGATTATGTGTGTTTGCCAATCGTCTAGTGGTGTGTAACTAGGAAGTCTGAATGTCGTTTAACCCACGGTCACTGGAATCCCATTGGGATGTTTTTGAGAGAAGTGCTGAATTTTCCGTTGCCCTTAATGGAATAGATTTAATTTTCACCATCTTTGGACCCTTATACATGTGGCATACATTTTCTGACATGCTATCCTTTCCGAAATTTCGTGGCATTTTTCCCACTGTACTTCAGTATAGTTTGGCCTACTTTATGGAAAGTGAAACAAAAATTGGAATGAAAACGTTTTGTGAGAGGTCGTTTTCTCCCATTTTTGGCGTTTTGGGGGACATGATGTTGTCATTTCTGTTCCAAACGCCGGCCCATTGACCCGTGTTGTTAACAGACAATAGGGTATTGACATCCGCTCGTAACTTTATTGTTGTGTGAGTTCGGGTGATGGCTGCCTGTTACGTCCTTGAATCTGTCTACCCACTTCAGTGCCGAGTATGACTTGTCTAATGTAGATTAAGACCTTGACCCGATAGGATGACCGGATTAACATTGAGGCTAGTATGCGTGAGTTCGAAGTAGGTGTATGGAGACGAAAACTATTCTATCCCTGATTGGCTGGCAAGCACGAGAGAGAGAGAGAAGACAAAGACAGCTGGAACACTAATCACTTTATTCCAACCCCGATTTAGCACTCGACTTCCCAATTCAGTTTAGGGTGAAAAGTTACAAGAATAAGTAGATGAATAACCTGACCACAACGTACAATAATTAGGAAAATACAATTATGTCAAAATTGGGGGACTGTAGTAGAAAATAGAGTACAGAAGGTTACGTCTAAATGACAATAGCTTTAGAACAGAAAATGCTGTGGCAGTGAATTATGCATCAAAAGAAAGCTTATGATCTATAGAATAGGGGCAAAAGTAAATGTTACAGTTTTAAATGCTTTGAATTAAATGAATTAACGTCCCCAAAAATAGCTTCCGTAATTTGTTAAGGCTTCTTGTTTCACGGTTCACATCACTGCCGCAGTCGCTGTTTGGTCAATATTTATTGGACAAACTGAATATATTTGTGGTGAATGATGCGATAGTTTTCAAAGATTTGTTCTACTGGTATAATTTTTCATCACAGATCAAACTTATCCGAACCACACTCAGGCCCGACCTAATATAAGCTCTCAGTGATGTCTAGGTTATTCACTGTCACAATGGCCCAAGTTGTCTTAAAAATTTAATTCGAGCGTTGAGTCCCTGATTTTAAAGGGCTACGAGCATGCAAAATGAATGTCGCCTGTTTATTCTTCATCCTCAATAGGCAGTGCTACTGGCGGTGTGACAATCAAAGTACCAATATTCGGTCTGAATGAAGAACAAAAGAACCAAAACTTATTCGATTAGAACATACCAGTTTCTTCTATGTAGCGAAGCGTTTCTGAGTGAGTCGTACTAAATTCTATCGCGGTAAAATCTGTTTTCATTCTGAATGGTTCTTTAAATAGCGCGTGTCCTACCTTCTGTCTTCATTTTCTAACCCTACTTTTCCAGTATCAGCTTAACACTACGCCAAAACACACCTGTGGAACATATGACTCTTTTAAGCGTCACTTGATACTTTTGATGTATCAGAATGATCTATGATTCTTCTAATAAGAGGACAGTTACATCTTTTATATTCAAAATACTCACAAGCAGTAAGGAATATGTTGAGATGTGAGTCCCAACCTGGACCTGGCTTGCATCATCTTTCGATCACTAGATGTTCGCTGCAACAGGACCTGTATAAGGCGCGCCAACCTGCACATTGCATATGTAGGATTATGGTCCAGTTTGCCATTAGTACTGCTAAAATGATAGGTTTGACCTTACAATTGTAAATTTGTAATGATGTGACTACCTAATTTATCAGATCTTACGTGAAAGTCACATAATTGTCTACCCTGATCCATCGTATCATGACAATATGGCGTTTAGCATTTAGGAAGAACACATTTTGAATGGCTATAGAATATATTTAATGTGAAAAGATATAGGTTACACACGAATGGCCACGTCTGCAAGGCTGAGTCACTCCATGTTGATTAACGTATGTTCCCGCGTCCACCATTGCTGGCCTTTTCCAAGTGTTACATGCTGGATATAAACCTTTTCAGTAATTATCCGCTCGGCTTCAAAGATCGTGTGGTTAGGAACCAATGCCAAAACATATACTCTAGTTTTACTACCAGTTTTTAATCCACAGGAGCTACAGTCAGTTCCCCTGCTTCTGTCGAAAACTTACCTTCTAACGTATCAGGACGAGTGAATGATCACAGCAAATGTTTTAATATCCTTTGCAAACTGGCATGCCTCGTGAAACTTATTGTCATGTGAGAACATGTTTCTATTTTCCGAATCTTGTGTAGAGGGAGTTATAAGACGACCGTTACCTTTCACACGTAAACAAACACATAAAGGACTGTGTCTCAGAAACCGACGTCTTCATACACTAGCCATCATTTTCAGAAATCGAGAGAATATATATCTGGATGTATCAAGTGTAAGGTATTACATTCTGTTGTAGATTGAATCCTTCACTTGTCTCTATCCTGTTGCTGTCAATATACTTCCGTCTATGCCTAGTTTTTTACAGAATAGTTGGACTTAAGTGTGTTCACGCTTTTTACAGAATCGAGGGTCATCCCGAATATACAAAAAAAACGGGATTAGACAGGAATTCAGCATATAAACGGATATTACTAGTTATCGCACACTTATGGTCCGAACCCGAGAACATGTCACTCCCAGACGTAAAAAACAGTACTTATAGTTGCCTAGTGTCCCCAGAATAGTGAACGCAACAATCTACTATGTAATTTGGCGATCGGTGTAACCTGTACTACTAAAGTAGGACATAGCAACTACATATAAGAAAAAAAGATGAAAGAAATAACTCTATCAGCACGAGCATCTCATTTTGAGATTAGGAATACTATCAGTTAGATCTCTTTACTAATTTATTTACTATCACTCAACTTGTCCTTTTTGCGTGCTACGCCATACATATTTCAACTCTTATGATAGTGAGTGCACGTCTCTGTCAGGATGAACCAAATATTAGTACTTTTAATTCTTTTTTTAATGTTGATCTACTTTCAAGATATAAATCTAGCACTGAATTGATGATGCAATTACAGTACGGACACTTCAAAACTCGATGTCAGTAAACTACTATTCATGTAAGTCTCCAATACGAGTATAATATTTTCATAGATGAAATCATGAGTCAATTGAAACTAGACCACTATGGAAAACTTGGAAGCATTGGACGGCCGTTTCGTTCTATTATGGAACTCCTCGGCAGTGCGCATCTACGATCCCTCCTCGGTTAAGTGCTCTGGTGCAAGACTGGTAGGTCCTGAGTTCGAATCTCGCGAGGCGGGATCGTGGATGTGCACTACTGAGGAGTTGGTTAGTTACAAATAAGTATGTAATGTGATGATCAATCTTCCAACAAATAAAGAGGGTTACTATGCAAAAAATAAGTACATAGGGATAAATCATATTTGGGGAAAAAGATATATATATATAAATATAAAAACTTTACAAATGGATGAATGGAATATTAAATTTTATTATCAACTAAACCAAATCTTGCTTGACGTTTAGATAATTTTTCAACATCTGGAATACTGTTGTTATTAGATAAAACTATACCAAATTTTTGTGCACGAATTGATTTAGCTAATTCATCATTCATTTGTGTATTCCCTGATGATGATGATAAAGGTTTACCGAATTTCTCCAAACGTTTAGCTTTACGTTCCAAATCGGTTAACTATAAAGTTTTCGAACGGAAAATAAGATTATTCGTATACAATAGAAAGACCTCAAATTTCTGTGTTGTTAACATTATAACAATCAGATGGTTTAGCAAATTAAATTACACCAGACCTACGCAATCCACATTACGAGTAACTACTTTCAATATATGTGTGACCAACTTCTTTTCAGTCTCATTTCTGATCACAATCGGAGGATGGTGGTATTCAAAGTTCGAGTCTCACGTAACGTCTTATTTTGGACTAGCCAGTTAGATGTGGTACATGAACACATTTATTAATGTTTAGATTGAGACTCGGATCTAGCACTTTTCGTTCCAAACGCTAACGCGATATCCACATGGTCACTAACTTGTTCAAAAGGTATGGTGTTTATATCACTATCAGTAAGGATTTTAATTGTTCTGTTGCTAATATTTAAGGCTGAATTTCTGACCAGTCTTAACTGGTATACGTGCATCATGTACGAACTACCTCGACTCTATAAAACCTGTATAATCTAGCCAAATTGAAGCAATCTGCAAGGGATGCATATATGTAACAAAGACTGATTAAAAATATAGTCCTAAATATAGACAACGGGATTATTCAGACCCTTACTAATCATCACGTGAACATCTCATGTGTTTATGCATCTGTGACTAATATTATGGATTGATATCAGTTAGTTTGGAAACAATACCTGATTGCAAGTAATCATATTTTGAAAATTTCGAAACTACAGCAAATCGAGTTGTCTAATACTCGCTGGTTTTCAATTCATCCATCAGTTGATAATAAATGATGAAAATGAACTTGGCATTTTATAATATCCCCGAGAAATTAAACAATCTAAGAAGAAAAAGAAATCCAACAGAGAGTATGTGACTTGAACACCATATTCTATGTTGACTAGTCAATTTGTAGGAATCAGTTATTTAGCCATATGCAACATAGAACCTGACACAAGTGTCTCCGTTCATCCTGACAAGGTACTGTGGTGTGTGCTACTGATGTCGACAGATATAAGCAGTATGTATCGTCAATCGAAAGTGAAATGCCTAGAGACAGAAGGTTAAGAAGATCACAGAAAAGAGAACGAGAACAAAGAATGATTGGTACAGAAACGAAAGAGCAATGAAGTTTGGAACGTTTGATTGACATTTAGCAGAAAGAACAGTCAATTTTGAGACAATTTAGTGACATTTTATACATCAATATATATGGGACCACTAAGAAGTTCCTTTATTTGTAATTGCAGTAATCATGAATTTTAGACCTTGTGCAGACTACCGTGATGTTGTCATTCGATATAATATATGCTGGAGGAAGACTCCTGCTAGAATAGGAACTTTTTCGCTCAATCCAGATTGTGACAAAGGATAATTATAATGATTGCCGCAAACTGTATAATAAAAGCACCAGTAACATTGACTGCAATATTCGCAGATGTTACTGAAGCTTCGGCTGTTCAGTGATATGAGTATTGTATGGACATGTCCATAATAAAAATGATAAACTTATACAACCGTAGTACACACAAATAATATTGAAGCTATGTGGTCGAGGCTGAGAAGGTTTTTGTGACCTTGTCATGGTTCCAGAGACCAACTGTTATGGAGCCATATGGACGAGTTCCTCTACCGTATGCATTACAATTTTGGAACCTTTGAACCTTTTTCTAACCTTGACAAGTTTTGGGATCATGTAAAAGAAGTGTATTCACTATAATTCTTTGCTTTTGTATAATAAATTTTTACTCTATGCTGACTGTTTACTGATTGACTAATATTCCTCAAGGTCACTTAAGATCCTTCCATAGGTCGTCCATAAATTATAGTCTCACCGGAGTCCCAATAATATGAAATGATGTATTCAAGTATTTACAACAACTAAGTGCATTCACTATTAAATATTAGTGTAAAAAGTTAACATTATTGTTTACAATTAAACAGAAAAATAATGTATTCTATGTACTTATTTATTTAATCGATATGCATTTTAAAACTTTAAATTTACTGTCCTTATTAAGAAACCAAAAACACAAACGGACTTCATAATTATGATAGAAATATTAGGTTTCTATACTAATTAATAGTCAGTGATCTTGTATAATAACAGTTACATTGTACTCCTATTACAGCAAATGATTACGTAACAAATACTTGTGATTTGTTGTTTTCTATACTTAATTTATGTGAAAAGACAAGATATCAAAGACTATGATGTTTTGAAACAGTGTTTTACATCCCACCCCACGAGATTCGAACCCAGAACCTAACAGTCTCGCGTGCGAGCGGTTAACCCGTAGACCACTGAGCCGAAATCCAATGGTATTAATGTATTAACTTCAACCAATCCACGAAGTTGAGCAACCATCCACCATTGTCTTCAGTGAGTTACTATCTCACAACAGACCCAGTTGAACTCCACTAGGGCACTGATTCTCACTAGAAATCCAGGAAATATCTCTTGAAACCAGTCACTAGTGAGAATATAATTATTATCAGGACAAATTTAATGTAAATCTACTGGGTTTTTTTCGTGAATTTTTTTAAAGCTGCCTACAAATTGAGGAAGAATATTGTGAATTAGTTAAGTTAGTCATAATCAACATAGAGGATTAGACTGAATTAATGTCAAGCTTGTTTACATGCTCTGTCCTCATACTCTTCTCGTAGACTCTTTTGTTTATTGTTTTATACTACTTATTAATATTGAGTAAACAGTTATATTCCTAGCAATTTCTACGCGTATGTTGTAGCGCAAGTTTATCGTGTGATATTCTAACAAATTTACATATACATGCAACATTTATTGTATTTATCATTACAATCACCCTCCCTAAACCCTTGTAACAGTTATTCACAATTTTGTATGGTTGTTTAATCTTTGTTCAAACCTAACGATTCTCATATTGTCTTAGCTTGTTAATAAACTGTTATCAAAATTGGATACAGTTGTCAGTTGTCATTTGCAATATCGCATGTTGTAATAATTGAAGTTATTATTGCAGCAAGCCTTTTTTATTTATTACTTATAAACGGTGTAAAAACCACGGCTACCTTACAAGATCAAGTTTGTGACTAATTAATGTACATTACTCAATAAAGAACCGCTTTTTAGAGAAATCGCTGTTTTGTGAACTTCGACTTCGCGCATATCATAGTTGTGTAGTTAGAAGCTTCAATAGATTTAACAGTTAATCTCACAATAGCAATAAAACAGATATGAAATTGTCAAGGTGAACATCAAAATAGTAGAAAGAATTTAAGTAGTATCAGTGATCATTTGAAAGTGAATGAATCTAAGCAAGTTTAATCGATTCTAATCTATGCCGTTTAGCATCTCCAATTTTATTCGTCATAATAATTAAGCAAACATTAGTCAAATAGCTAATATCTAACAATATGGTTCAAACTAACAGTTGTTGACTTCATTAATTGATTAGAAATCTTGATTTGGCTGCTCCTAGCTTTATTTGACGTGCTCCTACACCAGAAAATATTCAGCCTCAAAGTACGTGATGGTTGGATATACGTAACCAAGAGATTGAAAATTCACAATCCCATCAACCGACTTGTCACCTTTGTCTAGTAACCTGAGTTTGAAACCTTAATACTGCTCACTCGATAACCCCGATTACAAGTCAGTAATGCTTTCAGCGCATTAAGCCATCAGGCACTAGTAATCTACAAATATCCTCTACTTTTAAAAGGCATATTTCATACCCATAAGGTGGACAAGAGAGAACCATGTGCATAACAATAAAGCAACTATTATTATTGACATATCCTTTGTTGTTTATGACCACCTGACTGTTAAGGATCTTATACCCCACCAAATATTAAATATATGGAAAATCAATCTTAAAATTCATAAATCCTTTTAAAGTGATATTTATCTGGTCAAATTTCAACACAATTTCATTGTATTTATTTACAATGCCCTAGTACAGCCGAGAGTGGGGAGAGTCCGCTCTCCCTCTCAAAACGCTGTCACATGACCACGCGTATATAGCCTGTCAGGAAAGTCCTACTCGCTGCCTTTTCACAAAATTACTGTTTTTAACGAAATCGAGAGGACGAAAAGCCAATGTCCGGTAGGAGCTTTAAACGGGTTAGTGGACACAGAAATTCCACCTAGGGGAGTTGTAAAACCCTCATTACAAACCAATGGTGCACATGGACTGACTCCAGTATCCTAAGGGAACAAATGGCGTATGAATCAATCGTTGGTCACCGGCTACCATGGGACTGCATCTCCTCACGATGCTCCACTGCCTTGTGGATCTTTAAGTCAAAGGCTCCGAGTGTGCCCCCCCTGAGAAAACCACCTGCTTCGGTCTGGACACCCGGGCAATATCACAACCCTCACACAAATCAAATGAGATTTGTGTTGCGCATATATATCTGGTGTCCCCGTCTTCAAATAAATAATAATAATAAAATGATAGGATAAATGAACTAATTTACTAACCTTTTCTAATGTTTTACTAGTAGTTACACCAAATCGTTCAGCACGTTTTTTTAACTTTTCAAGTTCATCCAATTTTGTTGAAGCATTATTTAAACAAACAGTATTTATATTATTACCAATTGGTAAACCAAATCGTTTAGCACGAGCAAGTGTTTTTTCATCATCTGACATAAAACGTTTAGTACGACAAATTAAACGCTGTAAAAAAGATAAAAAATTGGACGATAAACAGATTTTTTTCACCGGAAATAACCATGAAGGACAACATCGGGTCTTCGTTTTAAAAATTAAAATACAAGTTCCGTAAAAACTCATGATGAGACAGCTATATCAAGGCAATCCACACAGAATGTACATATACTAACGAAGGTTGATATAAATTCAATCAACATTATCAACAACGGGATAATTTAAATTCTTTCTCCTAATGATACGAATATCATATACGTTGCACAAGCTGGTGACTTTCTGAACTTAGTAGCTTAGTGGATGATGCCTTAGGTGTTCAAAGTGAAAGATACTAAGGTTTGAGACATGGTTTGAACATCAATACGGATGCAGGAATGTCTAGTTGGTGAGTCTCGAACAAGACAAAACACACGTTCTAGATTCTACTACTAGCTACAAGTTTATCTATTCTATAAGACACATATTATGTTAATGAACAGAGCTCGCTAATAGGTTAAGTTCGAAGTAAGCTATATGTATGTTTTCATACGATAAGACCCATGTGTTGAAAATCAAAAACTAACTGTAGAGCACTAGATCAACACGATGAACATCTAGTGTTAATTTTATCAATAGTAAGGCTAAACAATAATAAAAAGGAATGAGAAAGACTTCTTAACTCGATTGATGTTCAAGACTAGCGTAGAGAGAAATGTTTATGAGATCCTTCACTTTATCAAATATTTTTAAAATGCTAATGAGCTAACACACAACTTTACTCTGAAAAAAAAGACAATTCAAGATAACACTTCTGTTAAATCAACTGAAATCATCCCTAATATTAAGAAATACAACAACTGCTGTATAAACAATTATGAAAATAATTATTATCGTTGACGTGATTAATCAGTGGAAAGTCGTAGTTCTACAGAAGGTTAATCAAGGTTCAAACGTAGTTCAGTAGTAACAGCTTCGACTGTAACATTTGGAGGGTCAATTCTCGAAAAACTCAAAGATATCCCTTGTTGATTAATAAGTCTTAACATTGGCAAGAAACTTAGGTCGAATAAGAGTCCCTGTCAATTAATCCAAGTTTAACTAATAAATATCAAAACATTCTCTATCTTTAAGATTTCTCTATCTTAGTGTAAGTATTGTATATCAGAGTCAATATGAAAATATGCAGTAATAAAAGTGGTTTTGTGTGAAAAGAACAATATCATACCGATAAAGTTCAATGAAGTGGGAGTTTAATGGTTGAAGCATTAGACTTTCAAGTAGTAGATCGCTTTATCTACTACGGTTTGGTTAACCCAGTATTATAGTATTAGTAAAACTAATCCTTAACATAATCAATATAGATTGAGGTCGAGCGTATAAACTTATATACATGGTAGATGTATATCACTAAATTGGTTAACATTTTTACCTCAGAATCTGATAAATTTGTTACTTCCTCTTTAGCATTACCATGTGAATCATCAGTTGTATGTGCAACTTTCAGAACTTTTTCACCACTAGTCATTGAATCTTTTTCAGGTGTCAATTCACTGGCTGGACGTTTACGTCCTACAGTTTTATTTGCAGTTACAACTGGGAAGTTAAGGCCACTTGGAGATCCATTATCATTGCTACAATCCATTGTTGTTGTCGTAGAATGAGATATATTCACATGGTTAGAATCACCATCTTCATCATCTCCAAGTAGTTCTGCTTCATCGCCAGGTTGTAACAGTACAAATTTATTTCCTAGAAAAATAAAAAAGATAGAGTAGTCACAAGTATTACAACGGAGACCTGAGAAAAAAACATTGAGTGTTTCAGTCAGTCATAAACAACGCAGAGACTGACACACGATAAGAAATGTGTACTTATGTTAGTCAAGTACTTTGATTACTAACCATAGTACTAATATATTCAACTTTGAGCTACACATTTGTGCTATGATGGCTTGTGATGTTACACAACTAATCAAACTGAAATAGGTGTAGAGTTTTGAATCCATGACTTATCTATAGTGTATTTAGGAAAACCTGTTACAGCACTAAGACTTAGTGTAGCTTGAATACGCGTTATATACAATAATCGACATATTCTCAAGGTAACGTTAATTAGGAAAGCAGAAATAAAAAGATTGTATAATGCTAGTGAGTTAAAATACAACTTAAGTAGGGTCGTATAAAAATATTTAGCTGAATATTTGACGATTAATGTACAGGCCAAAATTAGGTTTAGAACATACAAAATGCCCTGGTACGGCCGAGAGTGGATAGAGTTTGCTCTCCCTCTCAAAATGCTCTCACATGACCACGCGTATATAGCTTCTGTCAGGGAAGTCCTACTCACTGCCTTCTCGTGGCATTACTGTTGTTTACGAAAGTGAGAAGACGAAAAGCGAATATTCGGCGCTTTAACCGGGTTGGTGGACACGGAAAGTCCACTTAGGCGAGTTGGAAAACCCTGATTTCAAACCAATGGTGCACATGGTTTCCAGTATCCTGATGGAACGAATGGCATATAAATCAATCGTTTGTCACCGGCTACCATGGGACTGCATCTCCTCACGATGCTCCACTGCCTTGTGGATCAGACATTTAGGTCGAAGGCTCCAGGTGTGGCCGCTTAAGAAAACCACCTGCTTCCGATTGGGCACCTGAGCAGTATCACAGCCCTCACACAAATCGAATGAGATTTGTGCGGCGCATATGTATCTGGTACCCCTTGTACCGATATTTGTGTATAAATAATAATAATAAGAGCGTTGAACAAACAAGTATTTTGAATTGCCTTTTTTACATAATCGCTCTTGCGTGAAAATGATTGAATGAACGATGATAACTGACCCAGGAGTAGGTTGATAGGAAACTAAGGACGTCCAAACAAATAGCATGAATTTATAAAGACAATGATCAGTGGTCTAAGCGATGAAGAGACGGGTGTAGACTTAGTGATTAAAATATGGAAGATTACTCTAACTCCTGACTAAATAGATGGATCGGTCTACGCCTCTACACCAGATCGCAGAGAGATGTAAGTAGTAATAAAATCAGAAGTACTAGGAAACATTAGACACAAAAGATATGATTCGACAGAGAAACTATGGATAGGTGAGACGAAAAGTCGTTAAAAATAATGCAGAAACTTAGGATTTGAGGAGAAAGAATGAGTGCAGTTTTGCCATTGCAAACGCTTTTGAGCTACGTCAAACATTTCTAATCATTCGTCACAGCAACCACGTGGACTCTGACTAACAGGTCTGTACCTAACTACACAGCCGAGTTCAATAGTCAATGTCCTCATGGACTAATGTTACGCCCAGGATTGGTTGCCTCTATGTTCCGTCCAATTTTCTCATACAATACCAAACATCGCTTGAGGCAGAAAGTGGTTAAACATACACAAAACATGTCCCATCTACCTCATATGACGAACATTTATCCACTCTATCTTATTCTTAATCTTGAGCATAGTTTTTCTTTATACTTTTCACCGTTTGATATAATTTATTCTTAAGTTACATTTCTTATTTTTACTGTTAGTTATCCGTTTTAATTAATAAGACCTTTCATTTTTCGCTTCTCATTTCGTTAAATTTCTCTTCTGTACTTCTAACTGTTATAATTTCTCTTATTATGACCCAGCTATTCCAAATGCTTAATATTCTTGGACATCAATTCATGCGACAAGTCCCCAAATCAGAACACGGTCGGACAAGAACGAAATTTATATTCCAAATAACAAGGGTAGATGGGAGTAGGAAACACAATAAGAAATAGGTAAACATAATATGCATATTTCAATATTGTGCCTCTAATGGTCTTAAGAAAGTTAGCGGTTTTATATTAGTTAACAATAATCATTTCTCAATCAGATATAATTAACGTAGGACCTCATACAAATATACTACGACTAAATTAGTCGCACCATATAGGTACATCAAGATTAAATTAACAGGTTAAATAGAATAAGACGAAATACTGGTAAATTTAATAGCATGACAGACTAAACATGTGTTTAGAAACGATATTAGGATTATAAATTAATATTACGATTTAAAGGGAGGTAAAAAGAAGTTCATGAAACTGCACCGGAGACAGATGTTGAGCTATCCCACATACGGTTTCAACCATATATCAAGATTATCTCAGATATCAACCATGTAGTTCACTAACACGAGTTAGTAAAACAGTCAGTGACCTCATGCAGCAATGTCAATCTTAATATGAGTACTATTTTTAGTTTTTGCAACGTTGTATAAGGGATTATACCTTCAGTCAAAATCTTTTGTTTATACACATGAACTGTACGAAATGTAGTTTGTCAAGCTCACCAACGGAGATTCGCTATTCGCTGCAGAGTCGTATATACACCATTTTATTAGTAACGAAAATGATCATATATGAATGACTATATGTGGACTTGAGGTAAATCTTCACCTTGTGGGTTTTAACCATTCTAGAGTAAAAACACTGTAAATATACGTTTTCTTATACGCTACTAGCCACCAATTAACCAGAAGAACTAGTATCGATTGAATGAACTATTTATCGTCGACCACTTAAGTACCAATTTCGAACTCCACTTTGAGCATATGACTAATATCATTAGCCCGTGCACCTGTACTGTAGCTCATATCCAGGCACCTGATGGATGAGTTCGTTCACCTCTTTTTTATACTAACTTATTCCGTAGGTTTGGACTACTACAAATGACGTCTTGCTCGAACAATTCGCAAATTGCTCTAGACCGATCTATATACTATACAGTATTGCTCCTCAAGGTAAGATGGTGCCCAAATGCCCCGGTACGACCGAGAGTGAGGAGAGTCTGCTCTCCCCTTCGAAATGCTCTCACATGACCAGCGAATATATAGCCTCTGTCAGGGAAGTCCTACTCACTGACTTCTTGTGGCATTACTGTTGTTTACGAAATTGAGAGGACGAAAAGCGAATGTCCGGCGATTTAACCGGGTTGGTGGACAAGGCGAGTCCACGAAGGGGAGTTGGAAAACCCTGATTCCAAACTAATGGTGCACATGGGCTCCAGTATCCTGAAGGAACAAAAGGCGTAAGAACCAATAGTTGGTCACCGGCTACCATGGGACTGCATCTCCTCACGGTGCTTGTGGATCAGGTCTTTCGGCCAAAGGCTCCGGGTGTGGGCCCCTAAGAAAACCACCTGCTTCAGTTTGGGTACCTGGGCAGTATCACAGCCCTCAAGCAAATCGAATGAGATTTGTATGGCGCATATGTATTTGGTGTTTCCTCGTGCCAATATTTATGTGTTTAAATAAATAAATAAATAATAAAAAGATGGTGAAAAAAAGTCATTTGAGTTTGTCTGCAGATACTCTACCATATTTACACTATCCCACCAGGATATCAAACCTACTATGGATACACGAAGTCAAGTAAAAAAAATCTGTGACAATTGAAGTTGCATGAAAACACTAAATATGAACTAAATATATGCACACACAAAACGTATATGATAAATTTACCGTGCATTTCCGTAATACGTGAGATGAGTTCCACTTTCGTTCCTGTAGATGGAAGCTTGTTTTCTTTACATATTTTTTTCAGGTCGCTTAACTAAATTATTGATTGAAATCAATATACACAAACTACATTTATACCTTCAATTTATGCAAATCTTCGACATTTTGTACAGACTCTGACATTGTACAAGAACACTACGTGAATTGCTGCAGAAGTAAACAAATTCACAAAGAAGAGATAAGGATGTCTCAAACAGGACTGAAAACATTTTAAAAGAAGACAAACAAGAATTAAGGCAATAAAGTGGAGCAATTCTGTTGAAAACAGAATATAATTTATGAACGACCTTTGAGAGATGCTGGGGATGCCTTGAGGAAATTCAACCACTTAACAGGGTCAAAAGAAGGCTACGTATCAGTGTAAGAAACAGGGCAAGGATTCAATTAGCTGGTATGAGGTCAGTAATTACAGGGTTTCCATAACAAACTGACATCGGTTATAATGACAAAATGCTATTTAACAATGTAGACTATTGAATCCTGCGCCGAGATCCAAGACTTGATATCTCAAATCACATTGGTTCGTCCATAAATTATAGTATAGACAAAATGTAGCCCAGAAGAACAATACAGTAGCAACTTTTATCTCAACATGTTATATGTCTTTTTGCAACAGCTCCCGCTATCCCCACATAATCTCACTGCTAAACTTTGTACTTACTGATGAGTGAGTGAATGTTAAGTAGGAGACTAACTCACTTTACAATTACGGTAAATACACTTAGAACCCCAATATGATAGAATGCATATTATTTGCATAATTTACTGTCATAAGACAATTTAAATATTTCGGTGAAACTATAAATTATGGACGGCATTTGAGTCACGCTAAAGTGCCCTTGAGAATGTCGACCTACTTACTGGAGCTAAATGAGTTATAAACCTGTGTGAAGAATTTACAGTTGATGGTTAGGGTTAGGGATTAGATCTCGGGTTTAAATCACAAACTGACATCTGTTATAATGCAAAACGTTATTCAGTCACATGGGTGAATGAATTTCGTACAAAATCCTAAGACCTTTTATCTTAAATCTGATTGGTTCGTCCTTAAATTAAAGTCTCGTCAACATTTTAGATGTTATCTGAAAAATAAAACTTAACGAGAGAAAACATGGAGGCAGAATACATAGTCTCCCTTAAACCAACATTAAGCTTTCATTAGATGAGACTTCATTTAAAGTTCAGACAGGAAAAGTGAGATCGCAAAGTATATTTAACTCCAATCAGCAAATGATACCTAACCACTTATACGGATGACTGAATTTACGGACCACTTGACAGATTGAGACGTGTAGACAGATTGGTTGTATCTAAACAATATTTCGTAGATCACCTAACTAGTGTAAACTTTATATAGTACTAAACACGACTGCCATTTTACACAGCCTTAAAATAGAGTGAAGTAAACCTTAAAACCAATAAAGTATTTATAAATGCTTAGAGTAAAAATGATAAACGGCGATTTGGATGTACATCAATAAAAGAAAGGTTCCCCTTTAAAGGCTAGAGAACGTACCGGGACGGTTAGACACACCTTTAATGTAACGCCAACGATATCGAGGCGCTTACGCTGCAGAGCTCAATGTCCAATATACAACAGCGAAAATGGAGAAACCAACCGATCTATTCTATAACTTTTCCTACTATTATGGTTTGGTTTAGATGTTATGTCATGACCAATAAATGATATCTAGCCATTCGACTGCAATAATACTAGTCAAATTGTCAGTGATTTATCGATTTGTACATTTTGTAATTTTAGTAAGTACGTTTGTTTCAGGACAGTAGGAATTCTGAACACCAATGGCTACCACAATATCACGCAGGAGGTTGATTAGTTTCAATGTGGAAAACAATAAGGTGGAGGATAATTGCTCCAAGAATAACAAATAAGCTAATAGATTAGTAATACAGACAAAATCTTTCAGGGAGACTTTTCACTTATCCCAGGCTCATCGTGATTGTCTCAGGACAGTAGAGATTCTGCATACCAGTAGCCGTTGCATTACCACTTAAGAGGCTGATTAGTTCGGATGTGAAATATAACGAAGTGAAAATTCGAGTGTTAAGAGCAGATAATTATTTTAAGAAATAATAAACAAGTAGGTCATTTGATAGATAATGCAGATAGTGTGCAAAGAGAGAAGTGCAATAACGATAATAAAACAGAGGATGACAAAACGGGAGGTAGAACGTAGTTACTGATATGTGGTAAAGGTAACAGTGGTAAATTACGAGACACGGATCAGACACAACTGCACCAAGCGGAAGATGGTAATCCGCGAGTAATAACGTGTTCATCAAGTCTACTATTGAAGCTATCCACTAAGCGGGCTTGTCTGCTTCGGCTAGGAAAGAACTTCAAGTTCTGTCAAATGTTGATGAGGAAAAGTCGAAGTATATCTGTATTTTTGTCTTTTGATTTGCAATTTTTCGCTAATTGCATTGAGGAGAGTAGTGAGGACGTTCTGGCGACATGTTGGTATGAGGACGTCTTGGTGAACTTGGTTTTTTTACCACTATAAAATCAACTCTTATTTTCCTAAAACTCAATAGTCGACTGTGAACTCCAAAAAATAAGTGTCATTCTATCCTTTCTGGAGAGATCACGTAAAAAGCCGTTCAAAAGATAATATTTGGTCGCTTTATAACGCAAAATGTTTCCAACTCTGGAAAATTGCTTCAATTCACAATCAAAATGTCTAGTCCCAGTCATTTCAAGCAACACAATCAAAGGGGGGACAATCAATATGGCTGCCGCCAAGATTAAGTATCAACTAAAACAACATAAATCCAGTTCCAGGAGAAACATAAAAACTTATTTAAAGAGCAAGACAAATGATAAAACTATGATAAAATAAAATATTACCATCTCAAATGGCATCAAAGTGACTGACAAAATGTACAACTAAAGAAACCAATAAGAACAGGTTGCAAATGTATGCATGAAGGGATTTTCACACACAAAAACTTCAAGATGGAACTTACGACAGATATTTGGAGTTTGACATAGCTTTTACACGTAACTCCTTTTTAATCAAACTATGCCAGTCCAGTGAAATCGGAAGTCAGAGATGAAGAGGTTTGAAGATATTTCTGATAGGCTATCAATATATTGAGAACGCCGAATCGAAACTGGCTAACGGTTGTAAGGGATGCGTAGCATGGTGTAACCACTCATGATCTGGTGACAGCGTGACAGTGCACCTTCAGCAAGATGTGTCCAATGAGAGTGATGAGGTCAACATAACTGTCGACTATTTACAGTGCTGTTTACTTTTAGGATTTATTTACCGCTACACTCGTATCTGTACTTGGTCTAGGAGATTTGTATCTCTTTCTAAGAGAGGTGATGTGGAGATACTTGTGACCTCAAGGTCAGGCCGAGTATACTTTCAGAGGAAGTTAGAAATGAATTTGGGTTCATTGTGTCAAATTGTCTTCGCATTATTTGGAGAACTATGCTTGCCTTGGTCGCATCCTTTATGTAAATGGAGCTGGTGTCTAGACTTTAAGCAATCACTAGATAGAGGCACCGCTGTGAGGGGACAATTCGAAGCAGATTTCCGTGGACAACGTCATTTCTTTGTGTCGAATGAGGCAGAATGTTTATGACATGACATTTCAACTGGTTAATTTTTAGCTCATCGTTTTCAGATCAGTTTTCTATTGTTCTGAGGTCATTTTGGAGCTCAAATGTATACTTTTTGCCTCCTACCGACCTCAAGATCTTTGCGTCGTCTGCACAGATTAGTGCTGCTGAGCTAATTTTATCTAACAGGTCATTTAACAAGGATCAGAAATAGAAATGGACCTAAGATCATTCGTTATGAAACTCTTGATGTTGAGACCTTCCGACTCGTAAACACTGCATTAACTTTGGTACGGAACATCCAGTTCTTTGGGTCGTTTTGAAGCCAAGATAGTTTAGGGTCAGTTAAACCCATCTTTTCAACCTCTGCTATGGAAGTAAATGAAGTTCTGTGTCAAAGACTCTTGAGAAATCGAAGAATAATTAATGAACCGACTTATTTTGATCCTAGTAGTTTTTCCAACTGTTCCACTTCATGAGGAGATTGAGCTCACAGGAGGATGTATTCCCAAATTTGTTGATTGATCATTCCTTCAATTAACCTTAACAGTGCCAGAAGTAGTGCTGACTCTTTCCCACCTCCTTCTTTGAAGGTTTGAGAGAAAGCAGTATATTTACATTCCTTAAGTAATTGATACGACTCTAATGATTTCTTAATTATGTCACATACCAGTGCACTGGTGGTTTCTGCACACTCAGATTTATGGGTCGTATGTTATCATAATCTGGTGACTTTCCCTGGCCAGTCAGTCAGCTACAACGTAGGACCAGGAACACATATGCATCAGTCCCAGTTGCCATACCTCATTATCATAACATGATGAACACCGGATTCATAGAAATAGTTAATTTAGTGGTGGTAGTATATAAAAGATAGGTTGTATATAAGGATATAGTATAGGAAGGAAGAAAGTCATGAAGCAATTTCAATCTCAAGGTTTAAGACAGAGAGTACATAAACCTACGCCATTGTGATCGATTCTGAACCATCTCACCTAGAGTCTCCAACCATTGGTTACGATAGTCACGCAGACCCCAACCAGGTAGTCTGCATCTGCCAACATGGCTCAGACTAGAAGTTAGTGAATTCAAGCATTGATTCCACGTTTGGGTTTGGCCACCCCTCACTTTCTTCCAACCATTCCTAATACTGATCAGCATAGCGCGTCGTGGTAATCGGTGTTCAGGCATACGTAACACGTGGCCTAACCATCTCAGTCGATGAAGATTCATCACCTCATCAACTGATTTACCATCATTCCCTAATACCCTGCATCTAATCTCACTATTACTAACCCGGTGATCTCAGCAGATGCGAACAATATTTCTAAGGCATCTGTGGTCGAATACTGGTAACTTGAGAGTAACTTCTACTCTTAATGGCCACGTTTCACAGTCGTAAAGTAGAACAGAACGAACTTCTGCGCAGTATACTCGTCCCTTAATTGATAGACGAATATCTCGTCTTCGCCATAGGTGACGTAAGTTGACAAAAGCCAAACGAGCATTTTGAATCCGTGCTGAGATTTCGTCAGACACCAACCCATTAGGGTTGATCAGACTTCCAAGATAAGTGAAGTTGTCCACGTGTTCGACTACTTCACTCCCTATCCTTAGTTCAGGTGTTGACGCAGGCCAGTCCTGGAGTAACAATTTACATTTGGATGGGGAGAATCGCATCCCAAACATCCTGGCATTATTACTCAGTTCCAATAGAAGACTCTGCATTTTGTCAGTGTTTTCACCAAACAGGACTATGTCATCTGCGTATTCCTAGTCGCTTAGTGGTCCCCACGGTAGGAGATCAGTTCCTGAAAATTCAGTCGACGAGAGTGTTATTTCCAGCAACAGGTCTATGATGAAGTTAAACAAAAATGGGGATAGTGGACAGCCTTGTCGGACACCACTTGAGGTTGTAAAATCATATGACAATTCACCATAAGCTCTCACTCGACTGGTAGTGTTCGAGTAAAGAGCCTTCACAAGGTTTATGTACTTCTCAGGTACACCTTTCAATGACAAACACTGCCACAGAACCTCTCGGTCTACAGAGTTAAATGCTGCTTTCAAGTCAAGCCACCATATTCAAAGACCGCTTGAGCCAATCCATCTGGACCAGCTGTTCTTCCTCGTTTCAGATTAGTTATAACCCTTTGAACTTCAGGTACAGTTGGAGGACCTACTTCACTGTTCCATTCAGACTGTCTGGGTATAGTGGGTAGTTGTACAGTAGCTGAAGGCCAGACAAACTGCTCCTTAAAGTGTTCCGCCCATCGTTCTAAATGTCTGGGTTGAGAGCAGATAAGGGTTCCGTTTTTTTCCGATATTGTTTCAGTTACACTTGACTTATTAATTTCGGTTTCTTTTATTAGTCTGAAGGGTTTCTGGTGTTGCCTACAGCCACTGCCCTTTCCATCTTTTTTGCTTTCGTTGCCTACCACTGCTGACGATCTTTCCTTGGAATTTTAGTAAACCTAGATCTAATTTGTTTACGCTCTTCGTCGCCTGATGGGATGAGTTTACGTGAATCCATCTGTGAAATAGACTTGGAAGAAATCCATTGGTTTTTGTAACCCTGCAGTTTAAATTACTAGTAGGTGTTACTGCTGTTTTCACAGCTGTTTGTATATCTTACCAAGCGACATCTGGGTCAGCGTCGTTTTCAGAACTGCCTAAGTATGAACTCAACTGTTCCTGGAACTTACTTTTGACTTTCTCGTCCTCCAGTTCAATCCTAATGGGTCTTCTTAGTGTAGATTTTCTGCGTCAAGTGAGGCGCAAACAAATGCGTGCCCGTATTATAGCTTGATCAGAGTCTGAACAAGTAATCCAGTAAGAACGACAATCTTCTATTGAGCCTCTCCAACGATGACTGATCGCCATGTTAAACGATATCTCTCATTATGCTTAAAATTAGTGTTTGCTAAAAATAAACGATTTTAAAAGCATATTTGCAACAGACGGTCACCATTT